TTTTTAAAGTCATTTTTTGAGTTAGAATGCTCATCTTCGAACTCGATCTGTCTTTTTATGATACAAAACGACCCTGAAATTTCCAGATCGCTCTCTCAGTTCATTCTCGAGTTATCGTGCGGACAGACTGACAAACAAACAAACAGAATGAAACTTTTCCGGTCAGTGGAGTTATGGGCTTCGCTAATCGCTCCGCCAAAAAATTTAAAATCAATGTTTTTAAACATATTTTTTAACGGTTTCGAAGTCGGTAACTTATCAGAGCCAGAGTTCTTTGGTTAAAATTTTGTTCGTTTTGATCTATCTCGTTTTATCTCATACCATTGAAGCGCTAGAGGGTATTTTTTGGCGATCATAAGCGAAAAAATTACAACCCCGAGCAACAATGCTACAGCAGAGTAAGTGGTTCCGAGTTGTGACGTACCCTTGCCGTACAAACTCTAAACAAACATCTTCGCACACGCCCTTCTTCCAGGCAGAGCCAGGACAGGTAACCGCTGAGTCGCATCTTTGAAGGTGGCGTGGCGAACACGACCTCTGTATTTCACCGTAAGGACGCTGTGACGTGGACTTGACTGGCCCGGTGACGACAAGACTGCACAGCTGCGTACTCTCACACGTTCCCAGCACTTGTGCATTATGAGGCAAAGGATCGAACCTACACGAAGACGTTCCTAATGCCAAACTGTAGGCCGGTGAAATCGAACAATATGATGAAGATTTCCGTCGTCCTCAAGAGTCAAAATGTCACCACCTTTTTGAATTACGCACCTCTGATTGTTTTATATAGCAGTTGCTTTGGAGACCGCTAGGCGTCACTAGGTCTACGCCTGGAGTCCAATCTAGGGTACTACAGCTACACGAACGCTGCAAAAAGTTTTCGTGACTTCACAAAAACAAGTTACACAATGCTTCGTAACAGATAACAAAGCTCTTCAGCTTCACCGGAATGCAGAATAATATACTTACGTTTAGGAGGATTGGTTACTTTAATACGAACCGAGTATGTACACAATACTTTACTCTGTAATACGCTAATGCATGTAATAGAGTATTCTGCAGCAAGACAATCGGAACCTAAAGAAAAAAGCATCCGACCTATTTCATACTGAACCCTGATTGGTCGACGGTGACGTCGGTGTGTCAGACGATGAGCGCGCAGGAGAAAACGGATCGAGTAGTCATGCTTTGCTATGTTCCTGTTTTCCTGCAATCGAATACCCCATTAGAGTGTTACATACTGAAGTTAAATATGTCTGGATTCTGGATAGTATGTGGGTTAGTATGTAAGTGCCCTTATATAACTGTTTAAAATATCGCTGTAATCTTACAAACATTGTTGACCATAGTGTATTTCGACTAACGGAGGAAGAACAGCGGGTAGAACATGAGGGTTGCTGATTCGCCGAGCGCATACCCCGCCTACCGGCGTGACGTAGAGGCGGGGAGTTCTCGACCACTCGGAAACGTTCATGTTCTGACCCCTCTTGGTGCAACCTCGCAGAGTCGCGCTCATGTTCGCCTCGCCGCAGGGGGGTGGGGGGGGGGGGGCAGAGATCACCAATGACGCTGTGCTCTGATTGGTGCGGTTCCAATGTATATTGGCGAGGTCCAGCACACAAGCCTCATACCTGCCGAGGTTGCACCGGTGGGTCCGGTACCTGCCGAGGTTGCACCGGTGGGTCCGGTCCGGTCTAGCTCGGACTGCGACTGCCTCCTAGACAGGTATGAAACATTTTACATACCTCAAAACCTATCGGGCCCTCAGTCACGTGGTCTCCGCCCCCCCTCCCC